AAGGGAGATTTCCTTCTAGCCTATTTAATTTTTAATTAATTTTTTATTAATTTTTATCAATTTACCTCCTTTCCAGTTCACCAATTTTATGATGCGCTTCATCTAGTAAAGTGCTTCTATGCATTGTTTCAGCTTCTAACTCTCCAACCCTGAAAAATTGTTTTTGATACAGCAGACAGACCTTAATATGAGATGCACCCTCAATACTCAGTTAATTCACCTCATCTCAGTTAAGCTCCGTTTTTTATTTTGTTTGGCCACTAAGGCGAGGTTGAGGAGGAAGCTTAAACAATACATCCTATTTAAGGTACAACTCATTATAAGAGACAATTTTCTATAATTTTCTAAGCCTCAAGGGAGTATCTATAAACAAAATCTAAGCCTTTATAGATTTATCACAAGTTTTTAATGTTATTAAAAATCCTTCTACCTCCATTTTGCATCATTCCATAATTGTTTCAATTCCCCAATTTTCCAATCCGCGGCATTTTTCTCATCTGTTTTTCTAATTAATTGGTCATTTAAACGTTGAATTTCTTCAGAATTTACTGGTTTCTCGTTCGAATTACTCTCTAATAATTTCTGATAATTTTTCTTTTCCTGTTCCAATTGCCAATCTCTATGGGCAAGTAAAGCTTCAACTTCCCCCAATCGCCATTTTGTGTCATCTAAGAAATTTTGAAATAATTTTCAGCAAAAATATACAAAGGGAGCTTTAGGATTCACACTGTTCTATTAGAGATAATTAAACAGTAGCTATGTATAATACCCGGGAAATGAGACCCCTCCGATTAACAGAGCTAGAGTAGGCGAGACTGAATGAGTTAATAATTTCGGTCTCAAAACTGAAATGAGCCAGGCCTCACGGTTTTTACACCCGCTCTGTGTCTTAGAGCTCATGATCATACTCGAGCCCAATTTTTCTAAATACTCGATTACCAGTATTTAGATATAATAAGAATCCCTAAACTCGATTTTGAGTTAGATTTTTTTCTAGGTAGTTGATATCATTCTAATGGGAACCCTCCAAAATTTTTCAGAAAATACAAAGGGAGCTTAGCTGCCGTCTGACAGAATTTAAAAAAAATTTAAAAATTACTAACTATACATTTGCATCACCTCCCCCAACCTCCATTCTACTTTACTTTTAGCTTCACTCATTTCTTGTAATTTACGTTCATAATCATTTTCAATATTTTTTAAACGTTCTCTCATTTCATCTCCTTGTGAGGAAACCGAATTTAATAAAGGAAATAAATTTCCTTGCAAAACAGCTTCATCTAATTGTTGTCTAGTTTCTAAACAGTCCTTATGTGCTTCTAATAATTCTGCATCTAGACGAGCATTTTGGGCTTTTTCCAATTCGAAAAGTTCTGACAGACGAACAGACCTCTGAAAATAAATATACTTCTTTATAACGGACTCCCTCGAAGAAGAGAAGTTTGGGCGTAAATTTTGAGAATCTTGGAAGGTCTTCAAGTTTGTCCTTAGATTGGATATATATTATTAGCGTATTTTGCACAATGCATGGCCCTCCCTCCCAATTTGTGTGCATTTATAGGGAGTCCATTAAATAGAATCTATATTAATATTAAACTTTTTTACCTGTTGAGCATCTTTCAATTCAATTTCAAGTTGTTTAACTCTACTTTCTAATTGATATTTTCGTTTATTTGCCAATAAAAGTTCTTTGCCAAAATCATCCGAATAATAATTGATAAATTTGGATGTATTGCTTCCATTATTCGGTGCTTAATATCAAAAAATATTTTGTATTTTATAATCATTATATACCGGAGATACCCTTTATCTGATTGAGTGGGCCTTTATTAGGGCATGGGATCTATTTGAGATGGGATGGGATTGGCTCCCGGGAGAGGGATGCCCTAACGCGATAGGGATGTCTCTAACTTGATAGGGAAGGGTTCAACTGGGGCCATAATCTCTTAACTAGTCTCAATCTCATTATACTCTCATATCTGAAACAATCTCCTATTTTCGTTTAAAGATTGACCTAAAGAGGACATGAGGGGTGAGATGGGCTTGGCTCCAATTGGATGAAGATGGACCTATTATGGACCTATATTTTCGACTTACATCCATTAACATTTCCACCATTTTGTTCGCCATGAAAATGACGTTTATAATATTCCTTTTCTTCGTTTGCATTTGCGAGCTTCTTTTCCATCTTAATTATTTCTTCGCGTAATAATTGACAGTTTTCTACGCCATTATTTGAATGGGTTTTCTGTCAGAAGAATTTTTTAAATAAATTTGGGAAATTTTTATGGTCAAATTAGATCCCAAAAATTATAAATCCGAATTTTGTTCCCGGATATGAGCTGGAAAAATGAATACCTCGGAAGGATGAGAGACAACCTTTCGGACAGGGAGACAACTTTTCGGAAAAACAACTTTCCTTTCAGGTGTCCAAAACCAAAAAAATTTCCGAGACGAGGACTGCATCTAATTCGAGACCACGCGGTCTCAATTTAAGATACGGTTTTTAAAAGTTGATTGCTCGAGTGGATGAAGCCGTCTAAGGTATACTTTCTATGGGAGCAGACCAACCTACCGCGAGGCCAACCTACCGCCGGGTTATAACTTCGTTCATAATTGTCGAATTCGGGACGCCCTGGTATGGTTCGATTCAGCTCGTCGAGGCGCATCGAACCATACCAAGGCGTCCCGGATTTGATAATTTTAAATGAAGTTATAGCTCGGCGGTAGGTTGGCCTCGCGGTAGGCTGGGGTGTACCCACTTTCTATTCACCTCCACCATTATAAGACAAAATTTTTCAGATTCAAAAAGGTATCTTATACAATGTGATACAATATTTTCACTAATCGAATCACCCCCCTAATACAATAGCCCTTTGAAGGATGATTGAAAAATAGAATGCCTGGGCATTCAATTATAGAAGATACGTTATACTATATTAACTTAACAACCATATTTTGTTCTGATAATAATTCATCAATTTTCCGATTAGCTTCAGCTAGTTGTTCTTCTACAGAAATATTATTTCCATTTAATTCCATCTTCTTTAAAATTTAATTTTGTTAAAAAATATTTTTAAAATTAATTAAAAAATAAAAATAAATTTAGGGTGGAGAGAGAGACAATCTTTGGGTGGAAATCAATTTTTTTAATATTGAAAAAAATATTGTTTAATAAAAAAGCAAAACTGTCATGAGTTTTAATGACCAAAGGTTGGGTAAAATAAATATAAATATAAAAAAAAGTATATGTATGTATTTCCCAAATTTTTTGAACAACAAATTAATTAAAAAGTGGCGACTATTTTTAGAAAAAAAACAAAAAAATTTTAATTTTTTTTTCAAATTTTAGACACCTTAAGAGACGTAATAATAAATTATTTTATTTTTTTATTAAGGAAAGGTTAAAATTGATAAAACTATAAATATTTGATCAAATACTTTGAATTTTCGATGGGGAGGGACAGAGGATGTAGTAGAACCATTTTGATGAATTTTGAGGAAAAGATGGTCAGATATTCGATTTTAGGGGAAATTTGAGGGAAATTCGATTTTTCTTTAGGCGAAACTTCGTAATAATAAATCATTTGAAGGTCCTTGGATGGTCGCGGGTATAGTTTCCTTTATTTTCTCCTACAGAAAAAGAAAAATATTTTTTAATTGCGTTTCTGGTCCTCTAGTTATTGGGGAAATTATCAAAATAGTTTTGCGTTCGTGAAAAAACTCCTCAGAAGTTACTTACGAATTTACGGAACTCATGAAAGTAGCACATAGTTCACGATAGTTAAAAATTAAATTTACTACAAAAATTTTTGAAATTAAAAAGAGAGAGAGAGAGTGGATTCAGCTGAGTAGTATCTACTCGATCCGGAGGCCGAAAAAACGGAAAATCGGGACACGTTTAAACAAACATTTCCATGATTTATAAAAATTTATTTAATAATTAAATAAAATATTATTTTTATTTAACTAAAACTGGAAACAATTTTATTATTTTTTTATCTTTTTTTGTTCAAAAAAGTGATAAATAACCGATTAAATTCTCTTTCCATTTCTATTCTCTTTCCACTTTTTTTTACTAAATAGCTAGGTAAAAATAGAATAAATAAATAAAAATTTATTTTTGAAATAAAAAGGAAAAAGAGGAGAGAAAGCTTTTTAGTGAAGAATTTAATCAATAAAAAAAATTTTTAGGGAAAAAATATTTTTTTTATTTTTGTGTTTTAATCTTTAATTGATTATATTTGGTGTAAATTATAGGTGACAAGATTAAATTATCGTTAAAAATATTTTTTTTCAAAAATAAAAAAAATCAATGAATTAAATTAAAAATTTGGCCAAAATTTGGCCAAAAAACAGTTTCGGGTTGAAGCTGAAGACATAAAGTCAAAAGCCTGTCATCAAAACTTATGTCTAACGGCCACAAAACTCTGAATTCTCTCATATTAGCCTATATTTATACAAAGAAATGCCTGATCATTTTGTACATCAATAAATTAACTTGAGGGGGGGGGGTGGCACAGAAGTACCCTCTTTTGAAAATCTCAGGACGTGGGGGAGGGGGGAGACCATGAGAGAGACCCTGAGAGAAAGACGAGAGACTCTTAGAGAGACCAAGAAAGAGAGAGAGAGATCTGAATGAGAGAGAGACAAAAAAGAGAGACTATGCGAGTTAGAGAGGGAGAGAGAGTGTGACACAGCGACTCGGAGTCAAGCAAATTAATTAGTCAATCTAGCAACTTGAAGGTCTCATGACGGGGGGACTTTGAGAGAGAGACTCTTAGAAAGACCAAGAAAGAGAGAGAGAGATCTGAATGAGAGAGAGACAAAAAAGAGAGACTATGCGAGTTAGAGACGCAGAGAGAGTGACACAAGGACTCGGAGTCAAGCAAATTAATTAGACAATCAAGCAACTAAAATTTTTAATAAAAAATATTTTTTAAAGCCCCAAAAATAGAAATTTAAACAATTACAAAAAATAAATATAAAATTCAATCATTTCAATTAAAAGTCGTACTATTATCACCCGACATTCTCATAATTTTATTTTGACTAGGCCCATCATCATCATTCAAAATATCAATTTCTTCATCTTCTTCCAAATTAATATTTACACTTTCCTCCTCTCTATTAGCAAAAATTTCATTATAAATTTCTTTGTGGAAATTGATCAGATGGGATCGAAGATAATATCTGGGCCGTTTTTTTGAATTTGTGAAGTAAATAAAATTGCAGTATTTACAGCGAATTTCATCTTGTCCAGTCAGAAAATGTTCGCTATAGTCAATGTATTTGCTTGTGCCGACTTTCTAAAATTAAAAAAAGAAAATTAATTTTCTGTGAATATTCAAAAAATTAACAACTGAATGTTAGGACCTTTTAGTCCCTAATCATACTGAAAAATAGGACTTATATTCCTATCAGGGATGTCGCGGGTCGGAAAAAAGTCGTGTAGAGGTTTAAAAATTTCCTTCGGAACGGGTTCCGGGTCAGAAAAAATGTTCGGGTTTCGGGTACCCCGTGACATCCTTAATTTCCATCACAGTGAAACTCTTTCCAAGGAACTCTCCCCAAGCCCATTATTGCTCACTAATAGAGTGTATATAATAGTGTTCGACCTCCCGTCTTCTTTACCCAAATACCCCCGAATTACTGTCCGTAAATCGTACCCGCCCCGTAAGAGCATAATAATTAATTGAGTAAATATGGTAGTTGACTTTGTTATTTAATAAATTGGAGAACTGACTAATTAAAGAACGGATATCTTATTCTGAAGGGTTATTCCGAAGTCTCTATTTTGAACATTACCTTCAATTCAATAATTTCATCGTCTTCTATATTCAATTCCTTATTAAAGTCAGAATTTGTAGTTTCAATTAAACTTGTTGAGGTTTGTAATTGTGATGCCATATAACATTCCTTACAATTAGCCATATACAACAAAACACAGTTTAAGGTAATATTTGCATAATCTTGTTTTATAGCTTCCGAAATTGCCATCTTTTTTCCATGTCCCAAACGATTGTGGAAATCGTGGATGATATCGAATACCTTTAAGATAAATAAAGTAACAAATATTTTAGCATTTGAAGATTGACATTTTCTACATAAAATAGTCTTGATATGCAATATACCACAAAAATACAAGTACTCTTAAGGTCTGAGTAACATGGCCCGCTATGCCAATTTGAATATGATGATTCGCAAGTTGGGTCCAAGATTAACAACTCAATTTCTAGGTCTACTGGACCTTTTTGAATATCCCATGAGTAGGGAGCAGAGTCGGATATCAGGGATTCCCAGGATCCTCCAACTCTGTCCAGGGGGCACTTTATAATGAGAAGTTCCTCAAAGTAAGGGAAGATATTCCAGAAAAAGCTTATCTTAATTAGAGGTGTCCCTAATATACGAGTATCTAAAAGTAAAGTTCGAATGTCTTTAAGAAATACCTCTTCAATAGTAACAAGCTTTCTACGCAGCTTTCCATGTTCTACCAATCTCTCAACCTGTTGATCACCCTCAGTAAAAATTACCAACTCAAATTTGCTTCTAATTTCCAAATCCTTTTTTAATAAAAGTCGCGGATCCAAATTTTGAGTAATTTTCAGTCTTTTAACATAAAAATCATAAATTGAACGAGAAAGCATTCTATATTTATTGTTATATAAACTAGTTGCTTCTGTTATAAAATCTGCCCTTCTTTTGGCTATATCAGGGGAACAATTGTTTAATGTGGAGGAATTATAGGTGGGTATGGGGGAATTATATGTTGTATTAGAAGACGAATTAACTGGTATTGTATTAGTAAAATTTAATTGAGGGAAACTATAGGGGGTAGGCATTGTTGTAGGCATCGTTTGTGGGGGCATTTGTTGGGTTATTTGTGGAGGTGTTTGTTGTTGTTGAATCACCTTCGATTTAAAAAATTTTTCATTTAAAAGATTGGTATATTTATTGAGAATGTGCCTAGAAATCCTGCCATCCTTTCGAGAATTGAGAGCGAGGTCCCTGTGTCCGAAGGATTACTCATATGCGAGCTCAACTTAAAAAGGAGATTTGTGGAGGTAGAACCTCAATAAGTCGTCGGGATACACAGGAAGTTACATGAGGGGGGGGGCGACACTTAGTGATAATCCAGACTATGTAAAACTCATCTCTGATTTTTGAAAATCAAGTATCTAAGTAAACTGAGCTTTCATTATTAGTTTAAAATCTAAGTCGCATAATTTGGAGATACCAAAATTTCTTAGAAGCCATAAGCCTTTTAGATTTTGAATTTAAAAAATTAATTACCTGTTGATTTTGCACCATAGTCTGTCCCTGATTTAACTGGAAAAAATTATGTAAGGAATTGTTAGTAGTGGGAGTAATAATAAAATTAGTATTTGTTGTTGTTACTGGTGCAGTGTTAACAATATTAGTATTATTTCCCTGTTCTTGTTTTTGATTGATGCTTGCAAAATTTTGAACTAAATCAAGGCCACTAACAGGTTGAGGTATTTTGGGAGCTGGAGCTTTACGCTTCCTCACGCGTTGCTTCTTTTCTTTGGGAGGGGAAGGATCGGAGACGCTATAAATTTAAAGGAAAATAATTTTTGGTTGGAAATTCTAGAAAAAATTTTTGGTAACATATAAATCAAAAGACATCTTATTGAGTTTAACTCTCATGTAATATCTTCAAAAAATATGTTAGAGATGTCAAAGATTTTGGTTTGAGGCTTGACTAAAGACAAGTTGTTGAGGGCTTCTTCGGTCTCAGAAAACAGTCTTTTGTACAGGGAAGTCATCTTTTTGAAAACCTTCATATTTGGATTATCAGGAGTGTCCGCAGTTGAAGTCCGCAAGTCAAAAAACACGCAACTTGACGCAATCCGCAATCCGCACTTTGATGATATAAGGGGTAATCTGGGGGATATAAGGGGATTAAGGGTAGTTTTAAGGACCAAACATTTCAAAAAAAACATTCTGATCTTAACTTCATCATCCTACAACCCCAACTTAGACCACTAATATTTTTAAAAATTTTTACGTTGTTGTTCCATTCGCACTTTCGGCATTTATTTTATCTATAACAGCGGCAAAAGAACTAAAAGCACTTTTTTCGCCCTTTATCTCTTTTTGACCTTTTTTAGCTGTTGAATTTTGTTTTGGTTTATTTGTTGGTTTTCCTGTTGAAGTGGCAGGTTTTTGGGTATTTTGTGAAGAAAATCCAAATCGAGAATTGATTGAATTTATTGAATTATATTGACTGTTATGGCTATATCCTCTTAAAAATATTTATATTTTAAAATACCTCTGATTTTAAAATTCTGATTTAATCAGAATAAATTTTAATTCTGTTAAATTCACTCTCCACTCCCTTGTTGGAACGTTAACAAGAATAGAAAAAAGGCTTTGCCACCATTTTTAATTTTAAAAATAACGCAAAACGCTAAAAATTCAAAAAATAACAGAACGCCAAAAAGGTATTTTTTTATTTTTTTCAAAAATATGACAGATCATGAGAAGTGCTAGCCGATTTTGCTAGTTTCTATATTCCAATTTTGGGAGTTCGGCTCGAACGAAGAAACCTTCGGGAATCGGGTCAGCTAGATGTTCGTCGGCTCGAACGAAGAAACCATCGGGAATTGCCATTTAAGGGAATCGGGTCAGCTAGACGTTCAGTAAGAAGTTTGGTAAAGCTCCTAAACACCGATATGTTCTCCTATCCATTTATCATTTTTTAAAAACATACCGAACAGCCAATTGTTCTCTCAAAATTGCATCCATCATCATTTTCTGATGAAGCTTCTTTTGAGGATCTGACAACTTAGCATGCAACTCACGCAAGATGTTCAATTCGTTACGCCTTGCATAATAGGGAAGAAGATGAAAAGCAGCGGGAACTCTTCCCCTGTTAGGAGGGTAATCATCTTTCTGAAAAGATGTTGTTTGTGGACACAAGTTTGTGGAGACTATTCTTAATTCTGGCATTTTAAATGTCATTTTGTTAGAAAAAATATAGTCTAAATTAAGAGAGTGATTTTTAATTTTTTTAGTTCAACATACAAATGAACCTATCTAAAGATACATGTTTGGGTTAAAAAATTTTTCAATGAGGTGTTTATTAAATTTTGTCCTACCCTTTTTAAACTCTCCCAAAATGACACAAAATCAACCAAAAAGGATAAACATTGTCTCAAAACGTGTTTCTATGTATGGCTAAAGGAGCTTGAACTTCTCCATGGATTGTTGGTGTGTGTTCGGGGTGTGTAGACCGAACAACACTCAAGGTCAATAAGGGTTGCAGATAAAAGTCTGGGTGGTTTTGTGGGTTTTGTGTTTTTTTGGGTGGTTTTGTGTCAGTTTTAAATACATATAGGGGAATTTTGGGAGGGAAAATAAAGCAAACTTATGGGAGAGATGAATAAAGGGGGAGATAAACGGCCCTATTACCGAGATAAACAGGACTATTATTAAAAAATTGTTTAGAGGAGTTGCTAGTATTTAATGTATCTTATAGTGGGGTCCTTTAAAATTTAATAAAAAATTGTCTAATGTAAAGCATTGCTTGTCGATTTTTTAAATTTAAAATTTTATAAGGATTTGAGAGATAAATTTAAGGAGAGGGCAAGGCCCTCTATAGAGTAAAGGCCCGAGTTTAATTACGTGGACACGCGCAACATGGCCATAAGGCAAGGCATCGGAGACGGGAAATATTTAGAGAGTGTAGAGGGAATTAAGAAAGAGGGAGAGTGAAAAGGAGAGGAGAAGGATGTCGAGAATTGCCGTGGCACTTTATAAATAAAAGGGCAATCAGGTGACTGGGCAATCATGTGATTATATATTCATATGATTGTATATATCCCCTCTCTTCCTCTCCATCTTTCCCTCCCTCCTCTCTTCCTCTCCCTCCTCTCCACCTCCCCCCCCTCTCCCTCCTCTCTCCCTCCCCTCTTAATTCTTCATTAAATCTTCCCAGTAAAGCTTCATCTATCTCCCCCTTAAAAAATTTCTCAATCGCTTTCATTCAATCGTTTAATCAATTAAAAAATCAAAGGCATATGACAATTTCACAAGGCAACAATGCCACTATAATAGTAAAAAGCGCACACGCTATAAGGGAGGAGACGATTCTATACGAATATGTACGCGTGTGGCGCCTATTCAATGTAAATAAAAGCGCGTTGCGCGACTTTAAATGCCTGCGTTTTTGAATTGCGCTGCGAGCGTCGGGAAAATATTTTAAAATTTATGTTGAGCTGTTTAAAAGGACATGTAAACATGTTAATACATAATTGTTTATTATTAATTGTTGTGAAATTTATTTAAAACTTTGTTATGAAATTTTATGCACTTTATATGTACCTTTATGTTCTTTGAAAAAGTTAAGAAATATCCTAAAAGTTAATGAAAATTTTAAAAAAATTATAGGACTAGTCAAAAACAGAGGTTATTATTATTACGTTTTGAGAATGTTTTCTGAGCAAGGGAAGTTTTAAGCTAGCTTAAATGCCATTGTAGGGGTAAAAAGGCCCTCTATAGGGTAAAGGCCCGAGTTTAATTACGTGGATTGCTGCGCAAAACACGCGCAACTTGGCCATAAGGCAAGGCAATCGGAGACGGGAAAACATCTCACTCCAGTCAGGAGAGAGACCGAAACTTGAGAACCAGTAAAACCGGTATCTTCAATAAAAATATCCGTGAAACCGAAACCGAGCCACCGGTTACACAGGGTTAGAGTGAGTGAGAGAAAGAAAAAAGTGAGAAGGAGAGTGATTAGGGAGGGTAGAAAGAGAGTTTTAACAGTAGTGTATAAAATCCTGCTTCGGAGAGCTCAATGGAAATGTGCGTAACTTAAGATAACTAGGAAGGGGTTAAATATAAATTTCGATTTAATAGAAAGGGAGTTGAGTAATTATTCCTTGCCAAAGTGTTTTCGATTAAGAAATATGAAAGTTAATGAAAGTTAATAAAAAATAAAAATTAAAGGACATTTTTAAAGACTTTAAGAGATAAAATGGAAAGGCCAGCTCTCAAGTCAAACAACTGGCAGTTTGTAGTCTCGCCCATAAAAAAAGTCGCGCACGCATTGCCAGATTGGGCATATAGGGAAGAGGCGCTCGGTGATAAATAGTCACATAAGAGACTCTTGAAAGGGAAGAGAGACTGGCTGAGAGGTTGTGAAATGAAGCTCGAGAGTCGGCGTGGCATCTAGTAGATTTTTCCGACGACGTAAATACGTATATACACTCTCTCCCCTTTCTGCGATCACCTTAAAATTGTGAAGCGAGTGTTTCTCTATTCTACCCTTCCCTCTATCACTCTCACAATCTCCTAATCAATTTATGCCCTTGTTAGATTTCGAAAGGCAATTTTAAATAAATTATTGGCAAATGCCTCTCTAAAAATATTTTCTCTCGAGGAGGGCCAAGTCATGCGTCGTCTATACATTGTCTAATGAAAGCATGGAGAAGCACTCTACGCCCTTCTATTGTTAAAAAGTAATGCCGAATTTGAGTTGAAATAAGATTGTTGTTTATCAACAAGGGGTGTCGAAATTTGAAGTTTTTTCCCTTGATTTCGAAAATTTGTAAAGTACTTTATATCAAAAATCTGCCGACTTTAGAAATAAATTCACTCTCGTGAGCTCCCTACTTTAGATTTCGAGGCTTCTGAACCTCTCTCGTGAGCTCCCACCCTTAGATTTCGCTAGCTCCCTACTTTAGGTTTCGAGGTTTCTGAACCTTCTTCGCTTATCGAGTTTCGAAACTTTTTCTTTATAAAAATAATAATTACCTATCTCGTTAGGTTAATTTAAAGACCATCCGAAATTAAGAAATTTTTCCATGCGAATATTATAATTTATTATTTATAAATAATAATGTAAGAAAGAGAATATTGAAATTAAATTAGAAAATTAGATTTAGAGAGACAAAATTTCTTTTCCTTACAGTAAACGTTCTAATAGAACCCATTCCAAATAGAACCCCATACCCAGAAGCCCGCTCAACGAGACACATTGAAGAATGGAATCCCAGGGCTTCTATTAGGACACTTGTGGTAATTTTTCTTTGAAGGAAGGGGCATTTTTTTAAATGTAGAATAAAAAGAGACTTAATAGACGTGAGATGTTTACTGTCTGGACACCTTTTATTACAGAAAACAGAAAAAGTCGGAATAGAAAGATTTTTGATATTTAGATATATTCTTGTTAAAGTCTTTTAATAAACTAGTTCCGGCAGTATCAATTAAAAAATCTCAGATAATTCTTAACGGTAGCCAACATCCTGTGCTCCTTGCATTTGTAGACGAGCTCTTTCTACTCTTTCCTCGAAGTTGAAAAATTCTTTAAAAATTGTTTTTAAATTATATTAAATTTCTCAACCTCTAGGCCTATACTGTAGAAGAAGCTGAACTTGGGATCCAGTCGGAATTGCCTTTAACGCAACTGCCGCCTCTCCATGCGTGGCACGAGCCAAATTTACATCGTTTACTTGGAGGAGAACATCACCCTTAATATAATGGCAATTTAATTTTAGAATTCTGATCTAGTCAGATTCAAAAATCGAAGTCGAACCTCAATAGAAAATAACCCCTATAATAAATCAACTTCATTTAAGGAAACGGTTTTTTAATCTGTTGGCTAATGGGTAGAGAGAGAGATGTCAAGCGTTTAGAGCTGTCAAGCGATAAGCTCTATTTACCCTAGCCCTCATGATAGAGGTAAATTTTAACCCTGATGATTAAAGCTACTTCGAAATTTCGATTTTCGAAAATTTTTAGGAGGTGAGTTCTACTAAGAGTGTCAGATTCTATTGTAAATAACTCCAACTTTTCGTATATTGCCATTCAAGTCGGCAGCTCCCCCGGGCATTATGTGACTGATATAGATGGGTTCTCCATCCTCTCCGCCAACAATATTGAAACCTAGTCCATATTCATTCTTTCTAAGTGTAACCCTGAAAAATAAAATTTTTTCAAGAATCCAATTTTGTTGTACCATCGGGGCTGTCTACTCGGCTCTACCATTGAAGTTGGTGATTGAGTAAATTTAACTCCAGAGGATTGGATTTGTGAAGGATAGTGTGATGCTGTTTGTCTAGGTAATGTGCCTCCTCCTCCAACACTTCCTCCGACCATAGGACTTGGTAAATGATGCAAAGATTCTGTAAAAAATAACCAAATATCGGATATTTTTTAAAGTAAAGGTATGGATAGAAACAGATACCTAATTCGAGATCCCAACATCCTAACCAAGTCTTATCTTACTAATTAGGAACCTAGAGTTTCAGGCTAGGGAGCAGGGTGGGTGAGGGGGGGGGCTCTCCTTTCGTCTTCCCCAAAATTTCGCCTTCTTTTTTGTCTGATCAACATTTATGATTTTCTTAGTTCATAAAACTTCTTCTTAGTTCTAGAAGACCCTCAAAAAGCTATTAAATTTACGTGATCGAATAGGAGGCTGAAGAGTTCCAATTCCTCCAGCACTTCTCATTGAACCCATTCCACTCAACGACCTCTGAAAACCTCCACTACCGCTTGCCCCCATAGGCATATTCATATGTGATTGACTTAAGGATCGGTGCATGCCTGGCTGGACAACTGGTTTTAGACGTTTTACAAGCTTGAAAGGAGTAAATAATTTTTGTAATTTGGTTTCCACCCTACCAAACGAATATATGTGCCAGCATCTTTAAGTGCCTGTACAGCATAATCATGGTCACAATTAGCTGTATCACGATCATTAACGCAAAGGATAACATCTCCAATTTGTAAACGTCCATTCTTTTGGACTGCTCCCTACAAAATAATTTTTCAAAATTGAATTTCAATTAAAAGACCCCTGGCGAAATATCTGTCACACGGATATATTTGTCACCAAAAACAGGGTCTAACTCTCTATCTCTTCCTCCACTAATTGAAAAGCCTAGTCCTGTTTTTGATACATCTAGCATAACTTCTTCAACTTCCCATTCTTGACCAGTTTCGTCTACTATGCGATTTATCTGTGTTTGTTTGGAAGATATATTTGCCTGGCTAATACAGACAGACCTCATTTTTGGATACCCCTTGGTCTTATAATGAGGTGTATCTTAACGAAAAGGTATTGCCTAGGCAGCTCCCGCTAGAAGGCTGGAGCTCTCCCCCACTCTCCCCCTCCTCTCAGCTCCCCCTACTCACTCTTAGCAGCTCCCTCTCCTCGGCTCTCCTCTTCCCCCGCAGCTCCCGGTACCTGGTAGCCAACTAGCTTAAAAACGTATTTTTAATCGAGGTATATCTTAACTTGGGCTGCTTTATAGTGAGGTCTGACCGCATAATTATTTTCTAAATTACAGGTGAGGTATGAAGAAAAGTATCGCTGCCACCTCCACTCGGCACCCCAAATGAACGTCTTGAAGGTGGGCGGTTTGGCGATAATCTGGGTTGTTGTATAGGTCTACGTATTGGCGATAATGATGATAATTGGCTTATTCCGTTGAATGGCCCCAATATTGGTGAACGTTCCCATCGGGCTGCGAAGCGGCGAGACTCGAAAATCTGAAGAAGATTGTGATTAATAAAAAATCTCAGACATATCCTGTCAGAGGTCAATCAAGCCCCATCTCTGAATACCCTCACTGAATTGAAAGAGATATGAAGGTAAGCTATCTGACATCCATGGATGATAAAGAGGGAATCGCCTCAACACATACAAATGTCATCAAGTGTCAGGCATCCTACCAGCATGAAAATTAATTCCCGATTTTAGGAAAGTTGAATTCCCGATCTTTCCAAATCCCGATTTCATGAAGTGGGAAATCCAGAGGAAATTTTAATTCGCGATTTTTGGGAATTAAAAGGGAGAGACTGTTAGGAGAGAGACTTTAGCTGTTAAAAGGAGAGATTAAAAGGAGAGACTTTAGCTGTCCCAAATCTCTTTTGAGACAGCTAAAAAATTTCCTATTGTGGACAGTCTAATCAAAATACATTTCTCATTTTATTAACAAATGGTTTCTCACCTTATCACCGACAGGAATTCTTTCATTTGTCAACACATTTTCATAAAATTCGTGAATATCTGATAAAAATAAAGGGAAAATAAAGGTAAATTCCCCCAAAATTTTAAAATTATCTAACCACATAAAGCATTAAATAGCGAATGTTTGAATGTATTAATGACTCTCTCGATAGCAAATTTTAATTCTGTTTCAGATGATCGAAATAATTCGGAATGGTATTCTTCAAGTAATTCCAAAGAGCGGTGAACATCTCCTTTATTTTAATTTAGAAAACTTTATTTAAGTTGAGATATTTTCTCTAAAAAATATCCCACAGGCTTTCAATCAGATAAAAACTTTTTCAAATTTATCAGTAACACCAGAGATGGGTCGGGTCATCCGATATCAAAGCCAGACTTTTCTGACCTGAAATCCGATCCGAAGAAAATTTTGAAAACCCGTCCCATTTCTGTTGGACAAGGTGGGGAAATTCATTATAAAGAGGTAGACTATAGTATAGGGTAAGAAATACTAAATTAGCCTATAACAGAGTTAAGTGTAGAGGGAAGGGTTGAATATTTTTTTAATTTTTAAATATTTTAATTTTCTTCCTCACCTTTTGCAGGCATTTTTTACAGATATAAAATGAGTTAATAAATATATCTAGCTTATTTTTAATTAATCAAGATAATCTAAATTTAAAAATAAAGGAATCTTTATAGAATAGTCAGAATTATAGGGAAAAGGGGAATTAAGAAGTAAATTAAAGGAAATAAAAATCGGAATTAATATCGGAATTTCAAAAATTTTTAAAAATTATTTCGTGTGTTCACACTTGAACAGTGCTTTGGCTCCTCACCTTTACAAAGCTTGACCAGGCTCGGGTTTTCAAAAATTCTTGTTCCGGCTTAAGCATCTTAAATCTTGGCTTCTAAGCTACATAGCTCACGGAGGCATCCCCAACACGGAGGCTTACCCATCCAAAGCTAGCTCACGGAGGTATACCTCCCCCCTCCCTCCATAAATTTATAAAAATTTATAAACTAAAGAAAAATATTAATCGTTAAATATCAAAAAGTAAAAATAAAAAAATAAAATAATTTTTAGTAAATACAAGCAAATAAAAACACCAAAATAAGAAAAAACTTCAACGATTTTCAGTGAGAGCGACCAGAAAGGATGACTAATACACGTAAAAATGGGGTGTTGGCCAACAAAAAGGGCCCCACAATTTTATATAGAATAAAATGAAAGGACAATTTAATATATAAAATGGGTGGTAATTGTTGAAGAAAAATATATAAAGTTGAAGAAATTTAAGGAAAAGCAAAAGGGATAATATTGGGAAGTTATACTTAAATAATTAGACTTTAAAAAACCCACACTGATCTTTAATATATCAAAATATGGATGACCCTTTCAGGCAAACCTGTTCATAGATACGGATATGGATACAGATAATACCAAAATGCCTGCGAATATCCGCCTGTATCCGCCGTAAATATGCGGATACGGATACCAAAATCAGTATCCGTGAGCAGGTCTGCTTTCAGGTGCCTTTAATTCCAACTAAATTCTGAAATTAAGGCCACTAAAGGCACCTGAAAGGATTTGCCTTCGATTAGTTCTGCCATCTGCCCTCAATTAAGAACAATAGAAGTGGGATTACAGCGGAATTATTTTTTGAGATTAACCTTGAGGTTAACTTTGAGATTAACTTTGAGGCTAAAATTGCCATTATAATGAGCTCCTTCCACTCAGTGGCCAAATTTTAAAAATTCAAAAAGACGCAAAATTTGGGAATTTATTTGAAATTAAGGAAAATTATATTTTAACTAAACTAAAAATATACCGTATTTATTCTAATTGAATGGCACCTCCATTTGAATGGCACCTCCATTTGAATGGCACCTCCATTTGAATGACAATTTTTCGGGGTATTGAAAAATAGAATGGCTGCCATTCTATTAGAATAAATACGGTAATTTTCAATTAAAATTATTATTAAATTAATTTAAAAAATCAAAATTTATTTAAAATAAATAAAAATTATTGATGTAGTATAGAACATGAAATGTAATTTTATTTTGTGTGTCAATTTTGACCCACTCATTTCATTTAGATTTAGTAAAAACAGCCAACAAACAACCAGCCAGCCAGCCTTGTTAGAGAGAACGCGCAAAAGGTATGTTTAATTGTTATTTACATTGCGCTGGAATTGAACGTAAACATAGCGACGAGAATACACATTTTTATATGTATATTACATTGTTATAATAAAATATATGTAAAAAGAAAAAAAATGTATGAAAGAAATATTGAGGGAAATAATAATATGTAAAAAAGCTTATTAGAATGTCTCAAGACTTTAAAAATTATATAAAGAAAAAGCTTATCTGAAAAATTAAAAAAATTTTGTTGAAAATACTCTTATAAAAAGAGTAAATCGGATCAAAGAGCTTAAGTACTCAGACACGAGATATGCCCAAGTAAGCGCCATAACTAGCTGGAAAATTTCTGGACCTTAACAATTTCGGTACCAACCTCTTTAGCTTGATGAGAGAAATCGTTTAGTACTACATTTTGAAAGATTCGGAAATTTTGAAGCAAGTTATGACTTAGCGCCTACCACGCGCTGTACCCCTCAGACATGTCACTCAAGTTTTTTGATGTTAGGCTTGGACTCGGTGTTTTAGAACTGGGTTTAAGCACACATTTTTCTCTAAATACCCATTGTTTAGGGAATTACCGGTGTTCGAACTATAAGATATTTAACGTGAAAGTGTGGGATTAGGAATGATTAGAAAGGATTAGGAAGACGAGAAGACCAGAATTTCGACCATTTTTTTAAAGAAGCTCTGTTCTCTCATTCAATATGAGGACAAAGCGAGAAAATTTAGGCAAAATGTTCATTTTAAAAAATTTATTTTTGGGTATTATATGCCTTTTTAAGTCAAATAATTGTATAGTTTTTGATTAAAGAATATTACAAATAAAAAATTCTTTTATGATTGACCTTGCATTTGTAGTATAAAATGACTGTCTTTCGTCCTTTTCACTCAAAAAGTCGTAGCAACTATAAAATATTTTTAGCGCTCTCCGCGAAGCTTGATTTAATGGTCAAAGCTGGAGAGGTAAAGAAGAATTTTTGCATTTTAGGGGAGGGAGGGGGGGAGAGAGAGGGAGGTTCCTCCATCGGCCGATCTTCAGGTTAACAATTAGAGTATATAGCTAACACCCATCTCTCCAAGAAATTCGAATCCTGCTCGAACAGGATAATCACGAAGAATAATTTTTATAAAAATACAGTATGCCAAGAAATTCAAAAATTAAAAAATCCGCCAAAATTATAAGATAGAGACACTAGAGTATAAATTCAAAATTTATTTTGAGACTCTAAAAGTCTCTGTTGTTATTTTTATTTTTGATCTTTTAAGAAAAGCTCTCACAAAATAATTTCATTTTTCAACAACTACATACATAATTGATGACAGTTTTCTTTTTATAAAATACAAAATAAAATTACTTTTTATTGTCCACTTTTAATAATAAAAAATGTTGTTGGGAGAGAAGGTATACGGAAATTAAGCAAACTTTACGGACATTAAAAGATTAAAAATTTTGTGAATGGGTAAATTGCAGATGGTCAGTGAAGAATAAAAATAGCGTCACTTTAGTCGTAAAAGTGTTGAGATACCGTCTATATAATGGACAATAAGAGGCTGGTTGAGAGTCTATTATAGAGGGATTTTCATTGTATATGAAATCATTGTGAGTGGGCCATCGTACCTGATCCCAAAGTACCCCCGAGTTATAATTTCGTTCAAAATCATCGAATCCGGCACGCTCCTGTATGGTCGAGGAGCTGAATCTAACCATCGCGACCTGGTATGGTGTCTCCGGATTCGATCATTTTTAACGAAGTTATAACTCGGCGGTATCTTGGAAATAATTTTACTATAAGGAAACTAGAGAATTATTATTGGAGATACTTTGAGGGGCTCTTCTAGGAAGTCCATTATATAGAGAATTTTACTAAGGAGAAGGTCTTACTATACTTGAGTAGTAACAGACTTGTAACTGATCAATAGCTAATTACTTGCATTTACGGCGCTGTGTTCAGATTTATTTCCGTTGATCAGAGAAAATTCAGAACTTTAGGGGTTTCCGGGAAATGATTAATTATTTAATTTTTTGTACATATTTTTTGCTATAATAAATTATAACAGGTAAAATATAATAAATAATAAGAGTACATTCTATTGTTTATAAAAAGTTGACACGTAAAATAATAATTTATAAAGATTAAAGCGAAGATAAAAATGTAGGAGTATTTTATTAAAAGCATAATGAGGGAAAAGTTGGGTAATTTTCTAGTTTATTTTTTAATTTTTAATAAATTGTACAAATATATTTATTGTTATAGGAAGTTATAAATATTTTAGGTGAGCATTGCAAAAATAAAATTTATTTTCATTTTATTTCGTTATTGAAATAACCACAAGAAGAGTATAAGAATCTTGCTATACGCCTTCACGAGCACCTTTTTTTCTCATTAATATGCCGGCTGATTTCGGTCCCAGGGTGTATTTTTAGCCTGATTTGTAACTGATTAGACGTTGATTTCATTCATACGTCAGCCTAATTCTGTCCACGGGGGGGGGGGGCAAAACGAGATTATTTCAGTGACACTTGGAAGGAAGATTTCTGATGGATACCGTATTTTTCCGATTAATTATCTCTTTCTCCATTAACTTCTCTTCCCAAATTAAACACCAATCTACCGAAAGGACGACATTCAAGACAAAATGATTGGAAAATCGAGTACAAGATTAGTGTAGCTTTAGGTCTGCTCCTGTCTGAGAAAAAAGGCCTAACAGTTTAAATAATAGAAAAAATTAAAATCATTAAAATTAACCTAAAAATCACTCAAAAAACACCCAGAATCACTAACCTAAAATCACCTAAAATTAATAAAAATCACCTAAAATCACTAAAAATTACCTAATCACTTAACAAATTTTGAAATAATTATTTATTTTAGTAAGTAAATGATTCCTCTAAAAATATTTTTATTGTTTCCATTATTGTTAATAATTTGTACAACATTTTTTAATAATAATATTGTTCAAGGTTAGAACATTAAAATACCTAGATTTTAAAAAATTATATTAATTAAGCTCAAAATGGAGGTACTATAACAATAAAGGATAAATATATCAAAAAATGGAGGCATTCTAAAACAGGGATAGTGGGAGCTAATTTAGGAGCTAATTCAGGAGTAAATATAACCAAAAATTCAACAACATATTTAAAATCAAATTTTGGAGTTAATAAAGGAGTTAATACACCAATTAATTTAAAAAATAGTAAAATAGCTAATCTAGCTGTTAATTTGAAAAATAAGACGACAACTACTAATACATATTCAACTACAAGTTTAGGAAAATTAAGTAATTCAGGAATTCAGCAAAAGCAGACAACTACTGCTAAACCTATTCTAGTTAGTTACTGTCGGATCTCTTTATAAGATACAACCTATGTCCCTTTTAAAGTCCGTTGGTCACTGGGTGGTAAGGTTGCCGGATCCTGGGAAATCACCGGATATCCGGACATTTTGATCCCTCAAACTTACTGGACGGAGGAGTTGCCTGAGCGATACCTCCTGTTTAAAAACACCTACATAATTACAAATAAGACATAATTTTCCTAGTCCCAGGAGGATATAGACTCTATACTATAGAGAGGTCTTACCTTGTTATAATTTTTATATTTTTAATTATCTACTTTATCAAGAAAAACAGCGGTGACGACTCATATGGTGGTGTACAAGGGGCTGAACCTAACTTGGCCAACCTGGCTAATCTGGCAGGCGCATCGTCTGTCAAACCTTCTCCATCTGTCAGTAAATCCCTAGGTTTTGTACTTAATTAAAATTAATTTTCAGAGTTACTCGACAATAACAGCAACACTTCCCCCAATAACTAATCTTCCTTCTGTGCCAAGTCAACCACTCCAAAACTCAGAAAACTATGTTAATGAAGCGATTACAACAACTCAAGTGTCGAAGAATAATGCTGGAGTAGCAGCGCAAGCAACATATCCAACTACTAAATTTGCAGAAATTTCAACTGGAGGACCTTCAACTTTGTATCCCCGTATCTCATCCTCAATAGAATATTCTCCATCTACCCTTAGCCCATATATTAACTCGAATCCGCCTAACTATAACCAACAAAATTCAAATATTAACTCGAATTCCCCACCTAACTATAACCAACCACAGTATGCCCTACCTCCAGCAATTTCCCCATATGAAGTAAAACCAGCACAAGATTCTAATGCAGTACCTGCAGTACCTAGTGGAGATGCGTATGAAGCCTCTGTTTTGGAACAAACAGTTGGGGTAATTGCTACGACAGCTATTATTCCAACAACAGAAACATTAGCTACCACAATAAGAACAACAACTAGAGGTACTTATATTTCACAAAACAATAACTTTTTTCTTGAAATTTCGAGTGCCGCCGTGTGGGCCAGATGTACTCTTTGTTTTGGATTCAACTGGTTCGGTTCGCAATGTCTATGAGGCGCAACGTGGATATATCTTGGACGTGGTTCAACAAATGGATATTGCATCAGATGGACAACATGTATGCCATGATAAAATTAGATTGAATTTTAACACAGAGGATGGGGAGGAATGGGGTGTTGAGGAGCAGGGGGATCTCATACATATCTCATACAGGGATCTCATACAGGGGAGATCTCATACATATTAGTAAAGAGATGGAGATTTGGGAATGAAATTAAATTTTAGTGAGGAGTGCAGGGAGGATTAAGGGGAGTTAAAAGATGCTTCCAATCCCTCCCAGAAATTAAAAAAAAGTTCAGTCGGACAAAAACAAAAACTTTAGGTTGGCCTAATCATCTACAGCAGCAAACTTAGACAACGGATTGTGGTGAATTTGGATGAATCTCTGTCTAGAGAGCAGTTTCTTAAAATTGTTCATGGTAGCACTTACTATATAAACAATATTATAAAAACAAAAAATCTAACAATTATTTTCAGAATTGCCATATCATGGGGGAATTACAGCAACAGGCGCTGCTCTCAGTTTAACTATAAAAGCGTTAGAAAAGCGGCGGCCTAGCAAAAGAACACTTGTTATTTTGTTTACTGACGGGTTTACTTATGACGATTGGGAAGAACAAAGTCGTACACTATTATCTAAAGGTGTTGAAGTTATTGTGGCAGGGGATGCCCAAAGCTATTTGCAGTCAGTTTTATAAATTGAAAGTTTTATTTTTCGTTTTTAGACCAGTGCTGGACAAAATAGCTGGAGATCCATCAAAAGTTCTGCTTGGCCAAGAGAATAAACCTAAAGTTTTGGATTATCTTCGATGTAGATGAAAACTTTTTTTCTTAAATGAATGTACACTGTTGATGCTAACTGTATTTAGAACACGAATCGTTTTTTTTAAATTTTTCCCCTATATCTACGTAACGTGACATTATATCCCAACATTATAGGCACGAATATACATATGTACTATATTTTCTCATTCTTTTGTATTTTGTGTGATAAAAATTAAACGTTATGAATATCGAACAGTGTTTTTTCTTGATTAGGTTGACAAAAGACTCACAAAATCCATGAGAAGTTCCCCCAGTTGGTTTTCAAAAACATTTAAAGTTTTCAAAAACATTTAATTGTTTGGCATTTTGTTTTAATTGACATTTCGTCCCAACATATGATCGTCATCAGAAAAGGGCAAAGTTCTTTCTTAAACTTTTTGTTTTTTTTTCTTTGAAGTTGCCTAATTTTTTCTTTATTAGATACAAATTACGGAGATCAACTACAGAGAATGTCAAATATTTCAACGCGTGCTGACCAAAATGGGAGCAACAAACAGAAAAATTCACGGGATTATGAAGCGGTTATTTTTTTAAATTTTTGTTTTACCTAATTTAAATTTTAGAACGTTTTTTTGTTGAGTGAGGTTTATGCAGAACTTGTAGATCAACAGACGGGAGTTAGCAGTTTTATGAGTGGAGTGCTTTCTGTTGTTGAAAAGGTATAAAAAAATTTTTTTTTTAATTTACCAAACAATATTTTTGACTGACACGGTTTCCATAGGCAAGCTTAAGGGGAATAGTAGGAAGAAAGAAAAATTGAATGGGTAAGTAATTTTGAATTATTTTCTTTGGGTTTGACTGATAATTTTAACTAGACCAAGGCCTGGGTTTTTCCTGTACCCAGTGTCCAGGCCCAGGCATTTTTTGACCTTCCTGGGGTTTTTCTTGGACTACAGGCTCAGGATCCGGCCCAAGTCAATAAATTAAACCCAGGAACACGCTCAGGCTTTTCAAAAATACCAATTTCTAATTTTGACGATATCTTGATACTCCGGATTCTCTGTGATTAATGGTTTCTGTTTTCTTGGGTTTTCTTCAGTTTTTAGGGTTTATTTTTCTTACAGATATTTTTAAAACTTTTCCTTTTCCCTCTTCAGTCTGAAAATTTAAAAATTTTAAAAATAGAGTTGAATTTTCTAAAATTTCAGTCTTGGGGCGTCTTTTTGGAATGGAAGCCTTGTGGACCTCTGACGGATTCAAATATTGATAAAGACGATGACACTTCTGAATGGGTCATTGAAGAAGCCACAGAAGCTTTGATTGAAAGCTCGATTTTTAGCAAAACAAAAAATTCGTCAAGTCGAAATTCCCCTTCAAACGGATCCAATCCTTCTTCAAAAGAAAAGGAAGAGGCTTTAAAACAACAACAAAAATATTGTTTTTCTGTTGATTTGAATTCTCTTCGTTCTTTTCAACATTCAAGTTTTAAAAGAGGTTTTTGGAATTTTTTAAATTTTTTTAAATTTATTTTTTAGACCCAATTTGGATACGTTTTATATGTAAAGATGGTACTGATTCAAGCAATTATCATTTACGCGGTGGGGGATACGAATCGTTGGTTAATTGTCTTCAAAGGTTGTTTTTAAGGGTTGAAACTAGGGTTGGTGTGTCTTGGGAAATCCCTGTACGTTTGGATTCGATATATGATCCAGGCCCGTAGCCAGGATTTTTTCGGGGATGGGTGGCCAAGATCGGAAAATTTTTCTTTGCCGCAGGTGAAAATTTTGGAAGGCCGTAATCCAAACAATTCACTTTTTTTGCCCTATCCTCCCCCAAATTGATTCCTTTTCCCCATTCCACCTGGCTACTGGCCTGTCTGATCCGATATTTTCGGATATCCGAGTTTTTTTAGATCGAGATCCGCTAATACTAGTGTCATCCACGTTTCCAAAACCCTGTGGGATTTTTTGATAATTCTCCTCTTTATTTGCAGATATGTCTTTTTAACTCGTTCATCCCGAGCAGAAAATTTGGTGATAATTACGGACAGTCGTACCGATGCTCTTGAAAAATCTGTTGGAATGTTGAATTTAGACAAGAAGGATATTCTTACGGTTTTTAACTAAAATTTGAAAAAAAGAACTTTATTTTAGCGTTTCTTGGCGAATCCATATGCCACGTTAATGACTCAAGCAACAAAAGTAACATCTGCACTTGCACCACTTCTTGACGTTGATGCTATAAACGCTGAGGCTGAACTTCGGTATTTAAGAGAACGACAGCGAGCGGCGGAGGATGAGGCTGCTAAACTCAGGTTTTCATGAAAATATTTAATCTTCCGATCATTCCAAATTTTTTAAAATGGTTATCGCCCTATAACCAATGAGGGATTAGGGTTTGCTGTTGTATTGTCAGTAAATTTTTTGAGTAGCCTACAAGTGCGTAGCCAGGGGCTTCTGGGGAATCCCCTGAAATCAACCCCTACGCCCTTGGTAGTCTAGCTTATAAGTCGAATCGAACATTTCTAGTTTGAAATTGCCATAGTGGTCCTTTTTCGTATTTAAAATTACAAGGAAAATTATTCTAAAAGGTTTCCTGTCGTATGTTATTTTTATTTTCTTCCTTCCATTTATTCAGTCTCCATCCAGTAAAATTTTTTTTAAAGATCGCACAATGAAGCAGGATTTGAGCATATTTTTCAACTGGATTTGCCTGCTCGTCCACGTATTTTGCAGCGAGATCCACCTGTTGATTCTACAGTTTGGGAAAAGTTTCGAGCTTCAGATGGGCATATTGAAGATGCGCATGGTCTTCTTTGTTTAGTATTTAGAGGTGGAATTGTGCCCGAAATGCGTTGTACTATTTGGAAATATATCCTTGGATATTTTAAATGGGAATGGTCTGATGCTAAAAATGCTGAGGTTTAGTTTTTTTGAAATTAATTTTTAGCCTTTGGGATAATTAAATCGACCCCATAGGCTATTTATCCACCTACATGTGAGGGGAGTGTTAGGAATTTTATTTACTTGTTAGTAGTAGGTAAGTCATACCTTGGGATTTACTAGCAAAGATGGGCCTGATTGCCAGCTGGTTTGGGCTTATACTATTCGGCAGGGATTTTTCTCAACCCGTGACATCCCTGCTATACAGGGACTACACTAAATCAGACCTCACTATCCCACATCAGGCAGTAGTTGTCTTTCCTCCCAATTGTTAATTTATTCATTGTCACATAAGAGTTTTATAAAATTAAAATAAATCTTTAGAATCGAACAAAACTCGAAGAAGAATATTATCGAATGAAGCTTCAATGGGTAACAATAACGGAGGACCAAGCAAGTCGTTTCTCTAGCTATCGTGACAAAAAAGCTTTGGTAGAAAAGGATGTAGCACGAACAGATCGAAGCCATCCATATTTTAATCAATCTAAACCTAAACATTTGGAATTACTTCATGATTTGTTGATGACTTATTGCATGTATGATTTTGATTTGGGTAAATTTTTCTTTTAAAAAAATTTGAAATGAAATAAATTTTTTAGGTTATGTACAAGGAATGAGTGATTTTTTAAGTGTTCTTTGTGTTGTGCTTCGGAAGGAATCGGATATTTTTTGGTGTTTTGTTGGGCTAATGGAACATGTGGTTTGTTTTTTAATTAGAGACTGATGTTAGTTGGACCATTTATCACTTCACAAATATCAGGATCGATGTTCTTTGAGACATCGATCTCTAATCTCATGTCAGTTCATAGGATTAGGGGTTTGGCCTGACCTCGATATTCGCAACCTCGACAAGCCCGATCCCTGACATTTCGGCCCTGACTCTTATCCCTGCACAAATACCAAGATAGATGTTCTTTGAGACATCGATCCTAAATCTCATGTCAGTCCTTATGTCTAAGGGTTTGGCCTGACCCCGTCTAACCTTGACCCTGATATTCGCCCCAATCCCTAACATTTCGACTCCGACCCTGCTTAAGTCCTCTCTACTCTCTAATATATTCTTTTTATTTTTTTTCAGCACAAAAATTTTGAATTAGACCAAGTACATATCAAAACACAATTGTCCCAGTTGAAGAGTCTTGTTGAAATTGTGAACCCACGTTTGGCTATTTATTTGGGTATTTTTTAGAAAATAAATTGAATGTTTTTAAATAATTTCTATTTTATAGAAAGTCAAGATTCTGATCATATGTATTTTTGTTTTCGATGGATTTTGGTCTTATTTAAACGAGAATTGTCTTTTGATGATTGCCAATATCTTTGGGAAGTTCTTTGGACAGGAATACCATGCCGTACTTTTATGCTGCTTTTTTGTGTTTCTATTTTGGATACACAAACTGATATTATTATTGAAAATCGTTTTGGTTTAACAGAAATTTTGAAGGTTTTTTAAATTTATTAATTTAGTTAGAATGTAATTTTTGGGGGTTTTGAGGCTGAGGAAGGAAACTGATGAATTTTTGTTCGCCAAAAATCTTTTTTGTGGCCTCCATTAAGTGAAGAATACTGAATATACCTCAAATTAGGATGTGCTTTTTTTAGTTGGCTATTGGGGGTAGGAGGAAGGTGCCAAAGTGATACTCTTCTACTATTTAGATTAGGGTTGGGGTTTCCGAGTCGGGTCTCATTTTTGGGCCTGATTTTTATCAGACCGGATCGCGTCTTTTTCGGGCCAAAATTCGATGCCCGACTCGATCTTTTGGACCGGATCGGACCTCCAACCCTATTTAAGAATACTCCTCATTATAAGACAAGATCTTTCTAATCCTAACTATATGATTGTATTAGTCAGGCTAGCCATATCAAGTACCTATCCAATTTTCCCCAAATTTCAGCACATTAACAATTTGTCTATGCACATTGATGTACAAAAAACCTTATGTACAGCTGAAGCAATTTACCATCAATTAGCAGCAGTTCAAGACAAATTGCCTAGGCACATTTGTGAAATTTTGAGTTTTAATCATGCAGAAAGTATTTCTTGTAATAATAATGAAAGAAAAGAAAATGGAAAATAAATTTAAAAAATTTTAAAAATTTTTCCTAAATTTAATTCTTTTTGGTAATATTGAACGTGACAGACCCCCTTTTTTCCTCCCCAAGTTTTCCCCCTATATTCTTACAGAATGGTCAGACTTTTTCCTTTCTCCCATCCCAATTGCCTTTCTATATTTGCCAGCAATCAAGTACTCCTCCTTTTTATAATCCTTTTTGTTTGTTTGCAGGCAAAAATTAGAAAGGCAAATTGGATGGAAGAAAGGAAAAAGTCTGACCATTTTTAAAAAATATAGGCTGAAAATTGGGGAGGAAAAAAGGGGGTCTGTCACGTTCAAAATTACCTTCTTTTTTGCATATATATTCCTCTAAAAAATCGCGCTATGTATTTTTTAGTAATTTCAAATTCAAACAACAAAAAAGGGGTTTTTCTAAATTTATTTAAATTAATTTTTATTAAAATTATATATCTATTTTTTGGATATTTTTTGGTGTGCTTGTAAATATTTTTTTTAAATGGAGATAGCCTCTATAATTTGTTTTTCTATGAATTCCGATTAATTATTAATACTAGGAACTTTTTTATGAACTGACCTAATAGTAAACCTGTAAAATTATTTTTAAAAAATTTTTAAATTTTGAACGAAGCTATCTTTTCTTCACAAAAATACAATTAAATTCACACATTATGATTTGCTATAATTTTTTGTGTTAGTAAAAGTTTGAGTAAAAATTATTTTAAAAATAAATTTGAAAAAAGTAAAAGTTATTAAAGTTGTAACGTTGAATTTATGAGTGAAAAGATGATGTGTTAGACTTAGAAGCATTTACTAGTCTTTAAAAGTATGTAAAAGTAAATGGCCATTTAGTTCCTAGAGCTATGAAGAAGGCGTTGTATAGAGGATAACGCGTCAGTCCAACTGAAGATCCGCTTCCAGCCGTAGAAGAAACCCTTTGCTTTACCTGTGGGAGAAATAACCCCCAGCTCTCCAATTTTCATTATTTCCCTCAAAAGATTAACTCCGAGTAAACATAACTGATTCTTTTAGTTTTGTTTAATGTTTAAATTTAAAAAATTAAATTATTTAATTTTTTAAAATTTCAATCAATAAAAATAATATTTAAAAATCACAAGACGGCAATATTTATTTTAAAATTTTCCCGCATGCCAATAAATCTATAATTGCCAACTCTATCCAATAGCCATGAGGACACGTCGACTTACGCCTATCTGTCAGGCCTTATGAAATCCTTCCCCCTCCTCTCCTTATCATTTATTAAATTTAATGCTTGCGCTTCTTCATTAACTCCGCTTGTTAATTAACTCCGCTTGTTAATTTAAATAAATAAAATTTTAAAAAATAATTTTATAAGGCAGGCTGTAGAAGCTTTTATTCTCGTTTAATGCCTTTTGCCTGTTAACATTAATAAAAATTAATTATAAAATTTTAGATGATCAAACACATTGTTACAACGGTAAATACCGTTGTGCTCGTTTGTCTCACGTTGACGGATGGTCGAGTGATTTGGCCTAGAGAGCAGAGCGAAATATCTCCATCGTATTACGGTTGCTTAATATATTATATTCTATTTAAATTTAAATATTTAAAGGTGGAAAAACAGCGAAAAATCCTTTCGAGCTGTTCAAAATAATTGATGTTGATGATGACGGTCAACTTGGCTTAGAAGAGGCTGCCGATTGGTTTTCCCAGTTGAAAAATCAGACTAAGGACGATACTCTTGGAGATGTAGAATTCCGTATGCTTTTCAAGGAGGCTGACGCGAATAGTGATGGATTTATTCAATTTGAAGAGTTGGATAAAGCGTTAAAACTGGCATTTAAAAATGAGTTTGAGAGCGATGAGAGCGACGAAGAAGGTTAATACTCAATTGATCATATGTAAAAAATATTTTTTGAAATTAAGATGTTGAGGAACGCGAAGATGTTGAGAAGCGCGAAGATGTTGAGGAACGCAAAGATTCTCATGTGAGTGAAATGAAACCCTCCTCAGATGAATCAGCGATTTCAAAACCTACAAAACTTTTTGAAATAATCGATTCTGACAACGACGGTAAAATCACTTTCGTAGAAGCATCGGAATGGTTTAGTAAAATGAAGAATCAGAGCATGGACTATACTAGTGATGATAAAGAATTCCGTAATCTGTTTAGAGCAACAGACAAAAATGGTGACGGATTCATTCAACCCGAAGAATTGAGACAAGTAGAGGTCCTAGCTAGAGCACTCGCGGCCAATTTTCTTCCCAACAAGAGTAAGTAATAGCAATTTTTCCGGGATAGTTGTTGGACTATCCGGTAAAGGCTTGAATTCTTTTATATTCCACAGCCTTAAGCCATGATTTAGATTTTATAATTTCAAGATTCAATACAAGCCATTGCTTCGGAACAAGCCCCTGCTATGGAACCTCCTCAAAATCAACCAAAAGAATTAACTCCGCTTTATTACGGTTATTTAATAATTTTGCTTGTTTAATATAAGGAATTCTTTACAGATGTGAAGAAACTTTTCAAAATAATTGATGTTAACATGGATGCCAAAATTTCGTTTGAAGAGGCCGCCGATTGGTTTTCAAAAGTGAAAAATGAGACTAAAAGCGATGCGCTTGGGGATTTAGAATTCAATCTACTTTTCACTGAGGCTGACAAGAATCATGATGGATTTATTGAATTTGAGGAAATGGATAACGCGTTAAAACTTGTATTTGAAAATGGTACTGATGTGAGTAATGAAGATGACAGTGATGCCGAAGAGAACGTTTCCGATGAAAAGGAAAACGTTTCTGATAAGAAGGAAAACGTTTTTGATAACAAGGAGAATGTTTCAAATACCAAAGAACCCGTTTCAGAGGAGAACGTTTCAGATAACAAGGAAAACGTTTCTGATAAGGAAGAACCCGTTTCAGATAACAAAGAAAACGTTTCTGATAACAAGGAAAACGTTTCTGATAAAAATAAAACTGTTTCTGATAACAAGGAGGACGTTTCTAATACCAAAGAAACCGTGTCGAAGGAAAACGTTTCTGATGCCAAAGAAATCGTTTCTAACAACAAAGAACCCGCTTCAGATAACAAGGATAACGTCTCTGATAACAAAGCAATCGTCTCTGATAACAAAGAAACTGTCTCTGATAACAAGGATAACGTCGCTGATAACAAAGAACCCGTTTCTGATAACAAGGAGAACGTCTCAGAGGGAAAAGTTTCAGATAACAAGGAAAACGTGCCTGATAACAAACAGCCCGTTTCTGATACCAAGGAGAACGTTTCTGATAATAAAGAGAACGTCTCTGATACCAAAAATACTACTGATAGTAAGGAGAAAGTTTCTGATAACAAAGAAAACATTACTGATAGCAAGGATTCCATCTCTGATAATAAAGATGATGGAGTTTCTACAAATGATAGCGTTTTTTCTGTTGCAAAATCTGTTCAAGAAAGTAAAGAGAAAATTGCTACGGAGAACCTCAATACTGATGATAAAATCGAGCGTAAGGAGAAAGCTACTACTGATGTCAACAAGAACACTGATTCCATCGTAAAGGAAAATGCTTCTGTTGAAAAAGATAATTTGAATACTCCTACCATTAGCAAAGAAAAGGATGTCAATGATACAGTTCCCTTGAATGCCAATGCTGACAATATAGAAAATGCTACAAACAATGAGCCCGTCAAGGAAGATAAAAGCAAAGAGAATGCCATTGAAAATATCAACAAGGATACTGTTGTTGTGAATGAAGTTAAAGAAGATGGAGAAATCCATGATAATGATAAGGGCTCTACTGAGAAGAGTAAAGATAATGCCTTGGTCAATGATAATGGTGACAAAACAGTGGAAGTCAAAGAGAGCACTGAAAAGGATAATGCTGAGGAGATGCAGAAGGGTAAAGATAATACCTCAGCTATTGAAGATGATGGTGACAAAACTGTTGAAGTCGTAAAGAGCACTGAAAAGAATAACGCAGAAGAAATCCAGAAGGCTAAAGGTAATTCCTCAGAGATTCAGAAGAATAAAGATTCAGCTATTGAAGATGATGGCGACAAAACTGTTGAAGTCAAAGAGAGCATTGAAAAGGCTAGTGATGAAGAAATTCATAAAGATAATTCCTCGTTTATGGAAAAAGAGGGTGTTACAGATGCCAAGGAAACCACTGAAAAGGATAATGTTGAATCCACAACAAGTGATAATGTTCTCGCTACTGATAAGGCAACAGAGAATGGTCCAAATGACGATAAATCAGTTGGTAAGGACCTAAACGAAGAAATTGCAGAGAAGAACGTTGCCGATAAATCTGAAAACAAGGAGAAAGCTGATAGTGTTGTGGATGGAACAGACGGTAAAAACAAAGATGAGAACAAGGGCAACGCCAATAATGACTCTTCCATGTCAAAAGATTCTGGATCTGCTGAAGGTAAAGATAACGATTTTAGTAATAAATATATGGTTAATTTCAGAAGATAAAGAGAATATTGCCGAAACTAAAGAGAATGCTTCTAATTCTGTGAATGAGACAGACTATAAAAAGGAAGATGAAAAGAATGACAACGCCATTCATGACTCGTCTTCTATGTTCAAAGATTTTGGTTCTGCCGAAGGTAAAGTGGATAAGTTTAGTGTAAATTATTTGGTTTATTTTAGAAGACAAAGAGAATGATGCTGACACCAAAGAAAATGCTTCGAATGATGACGCAGTTTTAGAAAGTGGCAAAAAGGATGAAGTTCCCTCCGACAAGGAGAATGCAGTAACTGATCATTGAGAGAGGGAGAGATACAATTTTTTATTGCGAAAGAGAAGTGTACATATACGATTTTAAAACATTTACCTTTTTGAAAGACGAGAGAATCCATCCATAAATCATCATTTCATTTTTGAAATTTAAAAACATGTTTTTTATCTAATTTTTTTATCTAATTCTCACCAAACGATAGATATTTTTTTCGATTTTCGTAAAGTAAAAGTTTTTTTGGATAACTTGTTATTGTCTTTTTATTAATAGGATTTGATTATTTTTTTAAAAATATAAGGGAAAATAAGTCCCGTAGCTATTTCATTTTATCCAAGCTTATCCGATTGACTTTAATTGTTCGGAATAGCCGCTGAAACAACTCAAACAGATTGAGAATTAAGCTCTCTAATGTCATTTAAAACATTTAGATTAATTAATAATTTTAATGGTCAGTATAAATTCTAATATTTACTTTATAGAATTTATCCTTCCTAGATATTAGAGTAACCAATATATTTTAAAAATATATTATATTTATTTTTTTGAATAACAAAATATATGTTAAATCACCAAGTTTTGGGCAAGAGAAGATAATTAAAAGGGGAAGGAAAAATTATTTGAATGAATGGAGTGAATAATATGAATGATGTCAAAGATAAGTCAAAGATTACGTTAAAGATCAAGTTTAAAAAGTCACACCCTAAATATTTTAAAATATTTCAAAAATTGAATAAAAAATTTGTTTTGTTTCTAAAAATATTTTTTCTTATTTTCCCACAAATTATTATTTTTGAAAAATTTTTTGTTCTTTTTTTATGTTTAGTAACTAAATAAAGACTCGTTTACATATTAAATCTGTATGCAAAATTAATTAGTTAAGAATTTTTATTCCAGCGCAACATTTATCTTTAATATTTAAATTAAATTAATATAGGTATTTTATTAAAGATTCAAGGGTGTGCAAATATAATTATGTACATATATACAGTGTGGCCAGAAAGTAATGGAAACCCTTTTGAATTCATCATACATAAATTTTTTACTCGTTTACGTTTTTAAATATTATTATTCTCATTTTGTAGCTAAAGAAGTGTAGGGTTTATGCGCGGCCAAATTACCCGGTTTATGTGTTTCAGGAATAGTCCCAGAATTCACCAAATTTGAATCCGATGGATTACTGTTTGGTATTTTGGAGATAAGGGTCTGCGCTTAATAACCCAAAAGATTGAAGTCGCTACGGTAGTCACTCCTTCGGCAATGGAAGAAAGTCTCTCCCAAGGTGATGCGAATGGAAGGAAATGGAAGGAGAGAGAGAGACTTCCTTCGGACTTCCTTCAGCAATGGAAGAAAGTATTTCCTAAGGTGGTGCGAACTTTTGGCCTATATTTTTTCACGCGCTTTCGACTTTTTATACTTGTAAAAGGTGGGCACCAGACGTGGGCGAAACGTTTCGTTTCGTTTCGTTGTTTCGTATGTTTCGTATGATTTTTACTGTTTCGTCTCGTTTCGTTACGAAACACTTTTAAATTTGTTTCGTTTCGTTTCGTTACGAAACACCTGTGATTTTTCAACGAAACGAAACAATTTTTTAAGCCTAAACTAAGGCCAAAATCTATAAAATTTACCATCTTTTATTGAAAATTTAAAAAATTTTCGCCTGCGGCGCTGAAAAAAAAAGAATTTCGGCTTCTTGGCTTTCCCAAATTGTCAAAATTTTCGCCTGCGGCGCTGAAAAAGGAAGATAGCAATTACTTATATACTACAAATCCGTTTATACTCCACTCCCTAATCCACATATACATATTACTTAATCGACGACAAATTCTATTACCGGACTCGCATCATAATTTAAAAATTGCGGATTGCGAGTTGCGGAAATCTCGAAATGGAGATATGGAGACAATTTGGGTAGGCAATGGAGCAAGATGGTGAATTTTTTGGCCTACGGCCTTTCAAAATTTTAAAATTTTTCGTCTGCGGCGCTTAAAATAAAATTTTACTTGAAAAATATTCAATTTTATTTAAAAAAAAGCGTCGCCAAAAATTTGGCTTCGAAAATGATTGACCCCCCCCCCCTTCCCCGAAAATTTTCCTTGCTACGGGCCTGGCTTATGGGACACAATTGTTGTAAATAAACCAATAACTAAATCATTTATAAGTCATAGTCGACTAATAACGTATTTGAGGTCGAATAATTTCGAAATAAATGCAGTTTTGAAAATTTTTTGAATATTAAAATGTTTCGTTTTGTTTCGTTTCGTTTCGTAAGATTTTGGTTGTTTCGTTTCGTTTCGTTAACGAAACGATTTTTAAAAAATTTTGTTTCGTTTCGTTTCGTCAGAAAAAAATTTTGAGTTTCGCCCAGGTCTGGTGGGCACTCCGAAAATTCTTGATTATCATTGGTCCTTATTTAATTCTCTATCATTTAAGCTTTATTTGATCTTAGCATCTTGAATTCGGATAAATTTGTGTCATAAAACACGAGTCCCATTTCTTTCTCATCACATTATAAATATGTAGGTACTTATTTTTGAAAATTAAAATTTTTTTAAATAATTATTAGCAAGCAATTTATTTAATAAATAATTTTTAAAACACAAATTTTCCCTGTTTAGTTTGTCATTTAAATTCTTGATTCAGATTTGTTGATAAAAGATACTTGCCTTCAATTAAGCGACCGTGCCGTTTTCAAAAATAATTTTTGAGATAGATTTTGAAATTCCCAACGCAACATTTATGCTCCCAACACAACATTTTGAGATAGATAATTCTATATTTAATCTGACAGTATTAAAAAATTCTCCTTCAATAATTATTATTTTTTTTATAAATTGGTTTTTAAATTTATTTGGAATTTTATTGAATATTGGATTGATAATAATTACGGTTAAATACAAGTAAGACGGTTAAAAACAATCAGAATTACTAATATGTTTAATTTTAACAAAATCAGAACTAGAAATGAAATTAGAAATCAGAATTAAAATCTGAACAAAAATCAGAATTAGAAATCAGAACAAAAATCAAAATTAAAAATCAGAACAAAAATCAGAATTAAAAATCAGAACAAAAATCAGAATTAGAAATCAGAACAAAAATCAAAATTAAAAATCAGAACAAAAATCAGAATTAAAAATCAGAACAAAAATCAGAATTAAAAATCAGAACAAAAATCAGAATTAAAAATCAGAACAAAAATCAGAATTAAAAATCAGAACAAATAATAGGAATTAAAAATCAGAACAAAAATCAGAATTAAAATCAGAACAAATAATAAGAATTAAAAATCAGAATAAATTTACTTCTTCAGAACTCTACAAAGCACCTGTCATCTACTTATTGCTTGTTGTTCTTTCTGTACAATTCTTCTCCTCTTAGCGATGTTTATTCCCTTAATTGTTACTCTATCTACATCATTAGGATCTATTTCAATGTTAACATGTTTCTTTATTCATTTATTGCCATCTTATGGTGTTTTTAATGTTACAAGTTTGATTGCTTGTATTGGATTGGATAGGGCCTTGAGCGTTTTCTTTCCACTTTGGTAAATTTTAATTGAAATAACCTGGGTAATTGTCCAGCTTCCGATTAAAAATCAGAATCAAAATCAGAACAAAAATCAGTATCAAAATCAGAACAAAAATCAGAACAAAAATCAGTATCAAAATCAGAACAAAAATCAGAATCAAAAATCAGAATTAAAATCAGAATTAGAATCAGAATTAAAATCAGAATTAAAATCAGAATTAGAATCAGAATTAAAATCAGAACAAAAATCAGAACAAAATCAGAACAAAAATCAGAACAAAAATCAGTATCAAAATCAGAACAAAAATCAGAACAAAAATCAGTATCAAAATCAGAACAAAAATCAGAACAAAAATCAGTATCAAAATCAGAACAAAAATCAGAACAAAAATCAGTATCAAAATCAGAACAAAAATCAGTATCAAAATCACAACAAAAATCAGAATCAAAAATCAGAATTAAAATCAGAATTAGAATCAAAATTAAAATCAGAACAAAAATCAGAATTAAAAATCAGAATTAAAATTCAGAATTAAAGACAGAATTAAAAATCAAAGCAAATCAGAATTAAAATCAGAATTAAAAATCAAAGCCCCATAAACGGGACTATTATCAAACATATGTAGTATACATACTTCAACATTGTTTCTTCAGGTACTACTACAGAAATGTGAGAATATCATTTCCATTACTTTTAACACTGTCGTCATTATTTCCAATATACGTCATATGGCTCATTTTGCAAAATATTTTAGAAAATCCCTCTCAACAAATAGTCTGCACTTTGGGGGGTTTGCTTGGTGACAAGACTGTTTATGTTGCTACACTTTCTTTTTGTTTAATTGTTGTATCCGTATTGTGTTATTTAATGGTTTGGGTTAAATTGAAGTGGGATATGAAGAAAAATTTCAACGGAAGTTTGTTTTTATTTTTAGGATCTTTTTCTAGTCTATGCATCTCTCTAAAATAAATACAGCCAATTCTGGGTTTGGCTCCGGGAGCTAGCTCCGGAGCCCGGCTCCGGAAGATTCTGAAATTTTTAGGCAAATTATGGCTTTGCGTTGTTATGGCCACGCGCCGTTTTGGGCTGCCCCCTTTAAGATATGTGTTCCATTAGGTTTAGGGTTGCCGGCCCGGTTCGATAGATCGAACCGGGCATCGAATTTTGGCCTGAAAAAGATTCGAACGGACTGGTTCGATAAAAATGACTCGAACGTCGGCCCTTCGATAACGGCAACCCCAATTAGGTTGTAGAGTCCCAATAATAATTTATATTTTTTAAATAAAATTTTTTTTTAAAAATTAAGATATCCAAGCCCGACAAGCAATTTTTCATTCATTAATGATTATAATGGCTATCCAAGTTTGTGGGTGGTGTATAAGCGTTTTAGCTATAGTTGTTATTTATTTGTGTATAACTGATCCCTATTTGAAATTATTATTGGCACTTATGTTTGTTGTCTTTGAAAATATTGCAGCAAGCAGTGATCCTATAGTTCTTTTAATTACAAGGCAAGGAAAATTAAAAAAAATTTTTTAACTAAATAATTTAAGCAAAGAATATCGACAAGCTTTTTACAAACAATTTCC